TTCCATAAATATTTAATTTTTTTAAATATTAATCTTGACCTCATCGTGACCTCTCCTTAATTCAACCGTAACTTTATATGGAACATATCGACTTCCTCCGGCAACAAGCGCTCGTGTGGCGTGGTCAGTTAGACTGCTGTATTTTATACCTAACAGTTCTCTTCATTGCAGGTTTGATTCCCCTTTACGACACAATTTGGATTAATTTCTCCTAAAAAGTGAACTTCGTATATGGAATTCTTTCCGTATTTTGCTGTTGGATGTCACATGTTGATTGTAATATCAAGGGCCTTATGAATATTTATTATAATCTCTTTTTCTCAAAATGTCAATCCAGTTTTTTATTTTGTTGGCCTAATTGTAAAAGCCCCACACAGCCACTTTACTTTAATATTTGTTGAAAGAATGAAATGAAAGAAAAAACCTACATTGAATTACTGTTCTTTGAAACATATAAGTATTAATTTATATGTTTAATATGCTTTGCAACATGTCAACTCATCCCTCCATATGTGAAGGCAAAACGATTTGCCAGGGAGTGAGCAAATGATAAGGAACATGTTTTTTCTAAGTGTCTGTACTTCTCCCTGCATGCTCAGTTGTCAGTGGTTCACGTGACTTCAGTCATACACGAACAGCAACTTTGAAACACTGTAATCTGAAACTTCAAAAGACACTGTTATGAATATTAAATACCCCACAATGTAGAATTTGTATCTTGTAAACTAGGCCTAAATGCATTAACTATAGATATTTATGAGTGCAACTTACCGCTAAAGCTTAAACTTTTAATACAAATTTCTCGTTCAGCGGGGAGAAGAGAAGATCTTCAGCAAGTCTAAAGGTATTTTACATCACTCGAAGTTGTTTACATTGTGCAGCGTAACACAGAAGGTGAGGATGCAAAAACAGGGCCCCTTGAAATCTGGGCCCCCCATGATACACCAACAGAGGGATTTCACATTAGCGCCATCTGCACATATCCGCATCAAAACCGAGGATCTCTGTGTTGAACTTTGTCGCGCATGCCTGCGGAGTCCACACAGTACATACAGTATCCTGTTTGTGTGACGCCACTCCAGTTTAAACCACGCCCACTGCACAAGATACAGGACCATTGCAGGTATGTTAGTTTGCGGTAAATTGCCATTATTTTCTCTTTTGATTTTACATGTACGTGTCGATTCATCATGAAAGATTCTTCCACAAAAATTTGCAGCATGATAAGTCTTAATTTAACATACCTTATGTATTTTGTGTCTTGATTCCTTACTCTCAATCGTCTGATCATATTAAGAATTGAAGCTGAGACATACAGCCTAGTTTTCAAATGTGGAAGTGCGCAGATCGATGCTAAAAATGTTGTACTATTGGGATCCCTCTATTTTCTATGACATGTATGAACCTCTCTGGAGCTGCTCTTTCCAACCATGGAGCCTACCAGACTTGTTGGGCTTGGCTTATGGTACACTTTTAGTACTGTAGTGTTATTATTTCCTTGTGTTTCTAGGCACACACTTTTACACATACATATTTCTGAATAACTATAAAAAATTAGTAGCACGCCCCTAACTAAACCTCAAGTTGGTGTGGTATTTCCTGATGGAGGGCCTGGCTTTGCCAACTAATATGATTCAGATTGTTTAGTGCTTGTAAATAAGCTACCGAACTAAATCAGAGGTTTACTCGCCTTAATCTCCATGCCATCCTTCAAAAAGGTTCAGTGTTTCGTTACACAGTCGCTGGGCTTCCAACTTTCATGACTTTATGCAAGCTGGCCGAGGTGCGTCGCGTTCATACATACGTTGTCCGGTAACTTTGGTTCACAGAATGACAACACTTGACGGAAATCGTCGGGTAGAATGGTACACTGACTATAGGGTGCCATTTACAAAACCTGGATTGGTTCCTTAGGCGGCCGCAGTTCTAGCTCGTTTCTGTTAGGTTTGTTCCTTTCGGTGAATCGAATGCACCACAGCACAGGTACATGTATATGTTGTCAAATACTATAACGTGAAATGCTTGACTGCGAAGGCGGGAATAACATGCACCTTGTATAAGTGAATGGTTGGCGTCCATTCGTGATACTTGAAGACGACTCCCCATCGCTAGAACTACACGGTCTTTGGAAAAGTGGAAGAGAAGAAGTGGCATGCAGTATTTTTGTACTGCACGACTAAAGGGATTTGGTACGCGGTACGACTAGACTGGCGGGAAATTAGGCGGCGCGAGCTAGTTAGACAAAGTTGTTGTCAAGGAGTCTGGCATGTCAGGTAAACCATGTGTTCCTTCCTCCATGGGTAAACCATGGGTAAACGTGGTAATACAGATGCCCAGTTTCGGTGAAGAAATATGCCCGTTGATGAAGATGTTACAACGTTGGTTAATAACAGTCATGACAGTCACCGACAGTAGGCCTACCAAGTACCATGGGTTTCATGAATGTTTATGTCTATTATGAGACTTGAGACATGCTTGAGCATGTTGAGAGGAAGTTGAGACGTGATGATGTCCATGATACATGTACTTGATAGGCCCTATGCTGTAGCTCTACTGAGTGGAGGGTTACTATTCCTAATACATGTAATAATAGTGACAACGGTTCTCGAAAATTCCAAATACTCAACAAAAATACCTTTTTCACCACCTACACCTAGGCCTACTTGCTTTCTTAAATGCTAAAGGAAAACTTTTTGGGCTGAATAGACTAGTGACAGGCCTATTTCTGACTATAAAATCTGTCTGCATCCGACCGTTAACTTTTCGCTCGACACATGCACGACACTTATGCCAATGCTAAACTTTTCACCGCCTCCCATTCAAATAACTCTATGGCCAACATGGTCCTCTAATGAAACCGCAGGAGCAGCCCATATCGTATCATATAGTCGGGGCACATGACGTATTGACCAGGAAACCATGGAAACAGTGGTTGGTAGCACTCTGTCCCAACTCTCAAGTCTTGTACCTGTACCACGTATATACAACAGGCCTGTAGTCGCCAAGTCTCTTTTTCACAACGTCTACGTTCCAGGTCTTCTGTGAAAACCAGTGTTGTAGTCGAGTACTTTCCGAGTACCAACGTTCTCCGCAAAATACTGAACTGGGTAAGAGGGAATAAAGACAGAATGCACAGGCATTTGATGGTAAACGTGCAAAGGTAAGATTACAAAATAAACGTTAGACTTCAGACACTCCCAGTTGTGTAAAATTTAAGTTTTAAGGAGAAAAGTACTCGGAAAGTACTTAGCTGAGTACTTTTCGAGTACTTTTGTCCTAAAAAGTTAATTTTAATCAAACAGGGATGGTCTGAAGTCATTATGTTGCTTTGTAATCATACCTTTATTCATGTTCATGTACCATCAAATGCCGATGTACTTCAGCTTTGTTCCCTCCTAACTAGTTAAATATTTGATAGAGAATTTGGTTCTCAAAAGGTACTCGACTACATCACTGGTGAAAACCAATCAGACTTGACAAATGGGTGAGGAAATAAGAGACTTGGTGACTAGGGCCTATGCCGTCACGTACCCCCAGAACTGTTGGGATCCGACGTGGGAGTGGGGCGGACGTCGGACCTCACAGTTCTGGGAGTAACGGTCATGGATGTTACATGTGTTAGGGATCAATGTATCCCAGGTTGGACTCCAGAATGTACTAGTACAGTCAGGGAGTCCACCTGGGCTAGCATGGCTAGGGAATCAACCTAGGTACATAATATATGTATGTAGGCCACGAAGATTTGGGGCGTACTTGAACATGTTTGATACCTCCAAAACTTTAGATATTTTCTGCAGCAATTTTAAACAAAAATTTAAAATATAGGCCTACATGTAGGGCCTATTGTTCCCCCAGAACTGTGGGGTCTGACGTCCATCCCGTTCCCATGAACCCTACATAATATGAGCCTTTATTGCCATAGGCTCTGCATGACATTTAACAGGGCACAAACAGGGATTTTATTCTAGTTGTGTACCCATGGAAATGCTGCTCCATTTCCCCCAAGAGTTCTATATACGATAGCTTACATACCTTCGTACTGAGTACCACAAAAAAAAAAACAGACCAAAACCATGCCCTTTTTAAAAAAAAAAAGTGCTAATATTTCCTGATCAGTGTCCGAGAGTTGAGCTGCGACCAAATGGTTGACTACGACTGTGATCGATAGACAAGATGTGGAAATTGGCTGCAGCTGCTTTCCATACATGGATGTGTAATTCGTAGCCGTGCTGTGGAAAGGGCAGTTTGCTGCGGCTCGCTGGGAGTCACACTGACCAATCACAGGGCTCCTCATTATTTATGCCCGAATTGCAGGAATGACAGGAAACAGCCGTTGGGTACCAGTGCACGCAAGCTTGCTGTCGCATTGTGAACAATTTCTGTTGAGGCCATACGGGGATGCAGACAGGCAATGATCTTTGTCTTTGGTACGGCTCATTTTCTGTGGGGTTCGTGGGAGCAGGGCAGACGTCGGACTCCACAGTTGTGGGGGTAGGGACTATTGAAAGTTTCCCTATAACTAGTTACAACTTATCATCGATAAGTTCAATCATTGATATTTCAGGCAACTTTGGATTCTGAAGGAAACAGATTATTGATTTAGTGGGCTCAGAATCACACAAGTTGACAATTCTTTATCAGCCATTTTGACTTTTATCCCAGCATGCAACATTAAAGTATTATGTCAGTGGTACAAAATCTAAGAATGTCATCCCATTACCCCCCCCCCAAAAAAAAGGGCTGTGGGTAAAAGAAATGTGGATCTTGACAGCCGATTTCCTTCGAGCAAAAACATGCTGGTAGTTAGTGACAAAAGAAAAGATTTGTATTTGTAATAGGAAAGATGGCATGATTAACTTTGGCTTGCTAATCATGACTTCATCCCAGTTCTTAAATCACAGTTTACTATAAAAATAAACACAAGTAACAAGTTTGAACCTCCCCTTGTTAACTGAACAAGGCCTCTGCTTGTAAGAAAGAATAAAAAGTTAAAACTCAATATGCAGAGAAGTACATGTACATGTACTCCTTTCTCTGACCGTTTATAACAGTAACATTTAAACAAATGGCTTTAAATGTTCTTGCTGTCCAAATTAAACTTTCTGGTTATCTTGCCTGAAGATGAAAACATAAAAACCAAAGAACCGAAAATTGAATGCTCCAGTCCAAGGTGATAATACATGTAGGTTGCAGTCCATGAAATCCAGGGACTAGAGGTCAACGCAAGTTTCACTTGGTCCACATGGACAACAAGCTCTTTAGATGGATAGATACATCCACAAGTTTTAGGCTCACTGGGGTCAGATGTTTCATCACTACAAATGGGCCTCGTCACGGGTGCCAGCTTCGCATTGAAGTTGGCAGCTGTATCCAACTTAGGTTACGTGCGCACCATCACGTGGCTGCCATCTGGGATGTTGGTGGTTTGTTGACGCCTATCGTAGACCCAATGACACATACATGTATACTATGTAACCCAGAACTAATCATGATTTCTTGCAGACTGTGCTTTGCAATGCCAGAAAATGTGCAGCAACTCATCACATACTCAGAGAAATACGTAGACGACCATTTGGAATACAGGTACTGTACATGATATTTTGGTGCTTGAATTGCACATGGAACACTCAACAGGTGTCAGGCACTTTCATTTTGCTGGATGACATACACACTTCATGTTCAGAGCATAGACACCAAAGTCATTGTGCATAGGTTTTGGGCTTGAGAGATGATTTCTCCACGCATCAGTTTTTCTTTAAAAATTGTCATATGTTGTGTATTTTACACAGTGGAAATAAATACTTCTTAGCAACCCTATGATTGAATAAAAGCGGCATTTTTCTTGGAATGCCTCAGCATGATTAAGGTGTACAGCTCAAAATTTGAACTTCATTTAATAAACTTACAAACTATGCAGAAAAAAACTACAGAAGTTTACTGAAGATTATGTGCGCAAACCTGAAAGAAGGCTTTTCCTAAAGATTACATGTGCAAGTAAAAGTAGCTGAAGAAAAGGCCAGAAATTTGGCACATAAACCTTTCAACTTTATGGCACTTGTACATGTACCGTACACGTAACTGCAATTTAGTTACACATACATCTGAGTTTTAATTCACCCACCATGTCTGATTATCGTCTCTTTATGAACAAAATAATTATACAAAGAATAATTTGTTTTATCACAAATTTCTATTGATAAAAAATACTACTGAACCCCACTCCTTAAATGAGTGTCAGCTTTTAAAGATAGGCAACAAGATGATAAAATGCTTTGATGAATAGTCATTCATAACTTTTTAAAAAATAAGCCTCTTCTGTGTCTGATTTGTGGATGTAAGTATTTTCAAACTTATTTTCACTCCAAAAATGATAACTGAATTTCAATTCTAACACCTTATAAAGCTCTGCTAATGGAATAATATCCGTCATTCATAAGTCATCTGGAGAGTGTTGACACAAAAGATGATGAGGTCATCACTTTCCTAGTGAACCCTTCAGAGCACTTACCATGACCAACGGCTCTCACCATGCATCAAAATTGTGGGGGCGTGACTCTCCCAAGGGCACTACTGAATGGCAAATGCAATGTTTATAAGAAACTGAGGCATAACTTTCAGACAAGATGTTAATGTTATTACATTTATTGTTTCTAAGTACATTGAGCTAGGACTTTAGTGTGTTTGGGAAATGTTTTTGAGGACTATAAGAAGGGTATCTTGAAAACTGGTGCTGGAGTTCAGAGAAAAATGACCACCAAAAAAATCACTTGCATCTAGACCTAATGGATTAGGTACTACTGTACGAGAGACAAAAATTGAACAAATTATAAAAAAATTCCACTATGCAATATGTACAGTACAGATAACTTTTCCTTAAAAGGATACACGTAAGAGCGTGAAAGGTTTAAAATAAAACAGTAGGTTTTGAGTAATTCTATTCACAGTTCAACAGACTATTCAAAATAAGTATTGCATTCATGTACATGTCATTTCAAATCTAATTTCATTTCAGATCCTGATTTTTACTGCAGTTGCCCCCAAAGGATCCCCTAATACCAGTGTTAGGCAAATTTTGTACCAATTCTGCTAGTTCTAGTTTTTGATACATGTACATCTGTTTGATGCATCATATTTACTTGAAAATATACTAAAATCAGAGTATTTTAAGACCATTGATATTTACCTGTCGCCAGCTAGAAGTAGACAGTGCTCTCTTTTATGCCATGGCTAAATACCCACTGCCTAGTTTTACAGGATTTTAACAGTCATATTATTGTCATACAAAGTGTAGCCATGATTGTGACTGTGTACATGTGCACATACATTCCTGTATATGTATGTACATGTATTTGTAGTTGTACCCTGCATTATTATTGAGCACAATATATTAGATGTACATGAATTAACAGCAGCCTAAGTGTCAATCAATTGCAGTCTAGGCTGAAAAGATCAGTGTGCAGGAACTAGTTCAGATTGTGACAGCATGTTTATGAAGTTGTTCGTTGTCATTGGCTGCATGTGCGCAAATACTTTTTCTGTATTGATAAGTAGCATGCTGTCAGATGCCAAACTTTCAACCCTCTAGGCTTTAGCGGATTTGTACATGGAGGGTTGACTGCATGGTTCTTTTTAGGCTGTTTCTGACATTTTTTCCTCACAAACTTTATGTATGCAGAAGCACAAGACCTTATGAACTTGAGCACCAAAGTTGTGAAATATTTGCTAAAACTCTGGCTGCATTACACAAACCAGTGCTTGATGTTTTCCCTCACAAAATGCTTCTGTATGAAGTCCATTGTTACTTCAGGACTGTACATGTCTAAGAGTCATTCACCAAGCAGAGGAAGATACTCCTCTTGACTGAAATACACATACGAGCTTGCATAGGCAAATGTGTGATGAGATTTAAAGAAGAAACCTCAATTGTATAGGTACTTGCCATTTTAGATTTCCTGTGCTTTGCTGATTCATTGTGTCATGAATAATAGCTAGTAAGTATAGATTTGTCTAGAATACCGAGGAATGTGCAAATTCAGAGATAGCCATATGAACAGAGAACATCTGAAATGAAGAATCCCCCCCCAAACTACAGCGTACCTGTAACATCACAACAATAGAAGTTGTACACTTAAGCCATCCTTCCATTAAGAGTTTTTGTTCCACTGGGATACATACCGTATGAGTAGACCTTTTATGCTACCGGTATCCCTCCATAACAAAAGCAGTTACCAGAAAGATGTCTGCCATGCACTACCTCTACAGTGATTTTATTGTACAGGAAAAGTATGGTGAATTTTAAATGATTATAAGAGTGTAATTTTTAGGCTTTAGTAGTATGATTCCAAAAGTAATTCATGATCCCTGCTCAGTAACATTTTCATTGTTTGTCACAGAGTCTAAAACACCCAAGCTGACTTGTTTTATTGGTCATATGATTTTTCCCCCCCTTACAGACATGTGATCCTGCCATCGGCACTAGTCAAACTACTTCCACGAAACCATCTTATGACAGAGACAGAATGGAGGAACCTAGGTGTTCAACAGAGCCCTGGCTGGGTACACTATATGATCCATAAACCTGGTAATTCCATCTTTATATCCATATTGTTATGCACAAGTATACCCTCCCCCCTTCCCCTGGTAGTGGTGGGTGAATCCATGCCAGAATTAATATATCCTTTAGTTAAGGCGCGCGTGGCACTGGTGCACCATGGATGCTCAGCTGCCAAAATGAACTTGAAAAGACCAGTGCACCTGGCAAGCCAGGAGTGTGGCTAATGTCCAGTCACTAATCAGTATTTATTTATTCCAAATTATAAGCACTGTACCTAGCTTGCGGGGTAGTTACAAAAAAATTGAATGCTGTCAGTTGGTGTGCTTTATTTCAGCACCCAGCACGTGTATGCGCAACTGTTCCATGATGGTTCGCTATCATCATTCCCTACACGCGGAAATATTGACCCACTGATCCAATGAAAGGTAACTTTCCTGGGCCAGTGCCATGAGTATGTGTGGCATCAAAAACATGTAGTGTGCAATAGGCTTGGGCAGTATTGCCTTTTTCGATACCGCGGTATCCATGAAAAAAATACTGCGGTATTCGTTGCAGAAGGCAACGAATACCAACGAAAAGCAGTGGCAATGCTGACATTCAATGGCAAACCACTAACAGCACTAGGGGACAGCATAAAGGGTTTTTAAAGTTACAAAACCCCCTAAACTTAATAACTATTATAATCTATTTGTCCATTTGATGTCAAATAAATATTATTTATGTGAAAGAATTTTTTTAAAAAGGGACAGTGTTGTTACCCCGATTTGTTGCCCATGATTCCTATATCTGTGTGGTCACTTGTACGGTGTCAAAATCTGCACATGTACTACAGTCAAGTTGATACTTGCTGAGACTCGCCTTATAGGAATGATTATGTGCAGGTCAATAGTGGCTGCTCCTCTTATCTGCGCCCTAACACTGCATGTGTGCAATGGTAAGGTGGCTCTCAGAAAACTCTGCGACGCGGCAGTCGACTCTTATTACGAAATCGGTTGTAACGAAATTCCAATTACAACAAGCACAAAGCTGTGGTCCCGGTGAAAAGGTGCACAGAGAAAATATGTTACAGCGAAATAGCATTGCACGAAATTCCTGGTACAATGAAAGGTTTTCGTGATGCCATTGCCTGAAAAACCATTGTTGACGGCCCATTCATAAAGCGTTTGTGAATCGCAGTAGTGAAAACATGTGCGCGGTGCACCACACTGGTTCCCGCCGGGCTGAACCGTTGCCAATGAAGGCATGATGGAAATGCGGCAACCTGTCAATGTACAGGTTCTGCCAAAAAAGGGTCGTACGTTCCACTACATCGAATGCAGCTCTATAGTTGCCAGTTGAAAAAAAAAATGCCGTCACAAATTTTTCTGCAGGTTCATTCACAAAAAGTGATCACATGTTTGTGTTTTCTGTGTTCATGAATTTAATTTGAGGCTGTACTGCTTGTACCCAAGCGAGCGTGTTTCCACAAATTTTCGAGTCGTGCAACACAAGCTTGTCACCTGCCCCTCCATATGCATCACGCACACTTACAACACGATATACAGACATCGTTTGCCAGATTCCTGTTGTCATGACACGCATAGTGCACGATTAAAAATTCCATGATATTTTACATTGATTACACAAACGCCAAAACAAAAATTCCCATCCCATTTCTGATCGCTGAGTGAGTAGTGCATAAAACTTTAAAATTTTGATTGGCCCGGCAGCAAAAATGTTGGTATTAATCGGATGTTTAATCCCTTTCGTGAAGAATTGTAAGACTCAATTTTATCCAGTTATTGCAAAACAGTCAGGTGCACTTGAAAAAGAGGAGGCCCGCGATTTTCGTGAAAAACACTAAGCAAGTTTGCGTCCAAATAAATCGTTGGGAAATTGTCGATCATCACTGAAACACAACTTTATTGATAGTGAAAAACGTGAACTATCTACTCACTAAGTCATTTTGACCCACGAATGAAGCAACGGATTTCCTGGCAGGTTGAAGGGACACTACTGTATTCTCGCTCTTGCAAACTCCCATGTACTCGCAAGGTCCTTTTTCGTGTGCAAATGGAACTGCCAAAAATGCTCATTAATGGACTGCCTGTTTTGATGCTGGAAAAAGTTAGCCCGGAATGGACCTTAATTTGACATTAAACTACTGCATCACACACTGCAGTATGGAGGTACAGTATACATGTACATGTATGTTCGCAAGCATTGTTGTCAGTTAATTGTCGTACTATAAAGCTTGTGCATCTTGCTTTGTCATTTTCGTTGCTGTTCAAAAGGTTTTGAACTTGGCAGATAATCTCTCGGAAATAGAGAGATTGGTGCACAGGTACTTTTTGAGTATGTTGTAATTGTAAATATGAGCATGAAATTGCATCTGTTTAAATCTAGGTTGAAAAATACATGTATATTTGAAATTCTTGTCTACTGAAACGAAAGTTAGATAAAATATATGCCTTATTATAAAAGTTCAGTTTTATAGATTTACGTTGTTCTTAGTAAACATCCAAACTTATAAAATAAGTTTGTCAAGTTCCTTGCCAACCTTGCTTACAATATTGAATAATTAAATTTATCCTTGAATTACATGTACATTGATGGCTGTTTTGAGACACTCTCATGAACATATTTTGTAATACACAGATTTTTAAATTATTTTTCAGAGCCTCATATTTTGCTGTTCAAGAGACCAAGAACTGATGGATATCAAGACTAAGTAATGTCCTTTCATCAATTTCTGTACACTGTGAATTGCAGCTTGGTAAATTTTGAGTGTGCCAAAGACTCTTGTCACAGTTGGCAATGGGGCATATGTAAATGCATGTAGAAGTTTATCTCACGATATTCAAGTTTGGTTTTCAGTGTTGAAAATGTTTGTAATATACATGTAATATATGTACCTGGGCAACTTGTAGCCTAAGTAGCAACTTTGATTGTTTTTTCCCAACATTGTAATATGTGATACATATGCTTAGGAAAACAGCAGAACATACGGTGACGGTCTGAGCCTTGATGCATGTATTTGTCAATATATAATCCATGAGTTGAAATCAGGAACAACCAATTATGTGTAAGTTACCATACCGGTACTTGTAGTGTTGTGTCATCCAGTCTTGCTCATCGGTTACATGTATTTCAATGTTCAATGAACTGTGATGTAGCCTGTTTCATTATGTCCTTGTCCCTTTCACCGTTATCTTAAACTCATATATGTATGAGGATAATTCCAGAAATTAAGGATCCATTTTTATGTGTGTCCCTGTCACATTTGATGTATGATTTTGTAAGTTCAGAACACGTACTCTAATTTCCAAGAGCGAAGAATTAATGAAAATACCTGCCAAACAAATAGTAATACACGGTGATATTTCCATGTCAAATAACAAAAGTCAGATTTAACGGACACAAAAATGTCACACTTTTGGACTCCTAATTTCTGGAATTACCCGTATGTCACGTAATTTCCCATAGATACTAGTGGCCTTATTGGTTCACCAACACCAAAACCTGTCTCATGGATGGAGCAAACCAGTATTGGGACCACTGATTGAGATCTATCCATGTGAAACAAATAGGTCGAGATACCAGGGCTGCAGTGGAGTCTGTCACAAGCCATGAAAAGTCTTTTAATGAATCCAATCATAAGTCCAATTACAAGTGCATGTACAGTAGAAGGAGGAAAATGTTGTGGAAATGCTTTTGTCCTACAGTTGATTTGAGAAGAGACTGGCGTGCCTCCAAGAGTGAATGACTTATAAAAATTGGCTTGTAGGGACAGCCCCACTGTATCTAAACCTGATTGTTTATGTAGCTACTACCCCAGTTGATGCCATTAATGGTTCATTGTGGATAGCATTAACTACCAGTATAAACAGCTGTTCCTATACATATGGCTTGGCTTAACTGTTGTCCAGGTAGATTCATGAATATACATACATGTATCAGTCCAAGTTGTCAGTGTCAATGGGTTCACAGTGTATTTGCGGCAATCTTTGGTAGAGAAGGCACATCTGTCTTTGCCAATGTCTATGGCCAGTCAGGAGAGGTGGTCATCAGTGCACTTGTTTTCTAACTCCAAAATGAACAACAGACTCTATGCACTGTAATAGGATACCATTTACTTTTCATACACTAACAAAATAATAATAGATTGCAAGAAAAAGTCAAGATTTTACCTTAACGTCATTCCCATTTTATTGATATCAGTTTATGATTTTTTTTTAAATAACCAAGAGACAGTGGTAAGTTCCACATGCATTGACCTTTATTTACCTGTCTGTGTGTAGAATGGTATGTTGCACTCTTACCAGCACATATACATGTATATGCACTGAGCATTTTTGTTCTTGTGATAGAATTATTCCAGTTTCATAGCAAACATCCGTTATATTGTTTGAAATGTATTAGAATAGGCCTGAAAAGAATTTCACACTAACATTTTCAAATTGAAAAAATAGGACTTGCCCCTTTGAGATCAATTTTTTTCTTATTAAGCACCTTTCAACATACATGTATTTGTAGCCAAGTCTTCACAAGTCATTTAGTCTCAAGTAAATTCGTGAGTAATATCTATGAACTGTCACTCGTGATATCATTTTCTTTATAATATGTGATTGACTTGTTAAAGACTCAACTTGCTGTTATGAATGGAACAACGCTGCACAATCCTGTGCAGGTAGGAATTTCCTCATCTTTTCCAAGTTCTCAGTTATGTTTTTTAACACTGCCCCATTTTCTTTGATGCTGGAATGTATGTAATCTAAGGTTCGCTTCCAAGTAACAGGAACCAACTTTTAGATTAAAAATGACAACTGTGGTCAAAGTTCCTGTGCATCATCCTTCACTCTGCTTTATTGCAAGGATTGAAAACCAAAACAAAATTCAAGAGGGATAAAATTCACAGATGCAGAACAATAAATTTCAAAGTACTCAGACCATTTTTACGATGTCGGCATATTTAAAATATCAAAGAAAACGTTATTCCAAAAGCACCAAAGACAGAAAATTGTGAAAGAGCCCATTTCAAAAGATTGCAGGAACTATCAATACATGTATCAGTCCAAGTTGTCAGTGTCAATGGGTTCACAGGGTATTTGCGGCAATCTTTGGAAGAGAAGGCACATCTGTCTTTGCCAATGTCTATGGCCAGTCAGGAGAGGTAGCAGCCTCCACTGAAACCCCAGTCTTGATGTCCTCACAGTCTTCTGTGAGAGTCCCAGCCCTGTCGGTCCAGGCTTTGGTGTGAGTCCCAGCTTCGTCAGTCCTGGTCTGCCTTGATGGTCCAAGGCTTGGTGCGTGGCTGGGAGTGCTCAAACCCTTAACACAGAACCAAAGGCCTCCGATACTAGTAGGCCTGGGTGGCAGCTCACGGTAACAGCAGCTGGCTTAAAATTTCTCTCAAGAGAGCCCTAAAACATAGTTCAATGCATGCTAACAAACATTTTCTACAGAATAATCATGGTGATAATTCTTGCCACGTACGGGCCATCTATACATCCCAAAACAAAATATCGCTAAATCTAACAGGCAGTTAAAGTGTATCTCAGTGTGGGCAAAACCAATTGTCACCTTGCACGTACATATAAGTTTGCAGGACATCAATCATATCATTTCAAAGGTTTTTAAAGCCATGCAAAAGTCTGCTCCAATCCAAATAAACTGACCAAACGGCCAAAACGTAAGCATCGCATCGACATTCACTGAGACACTTGCCTGTGAAAAAAGGATAAAGAATTCAATTTTGTGCATGATGCCAAATGAAGTTTAGAGAACATGTCACCAGTTTAACACCGCTCAAAATAACTCCACAGGTCGAATTGAATATATGTGTACAGTTTCAAGACATCTGGCCCATTAATGATACAGCTTTGATGATTTTCCTCAAAAGATCAATCTTACTTTATAATACAAGTAGGAACAAATGGCACATCAAAGCAATTTGAACAAAGTCCATATTTTCTTCTACATGCAAAATGTATTAACTGCAAAATCTGCCATTCAAAGACTTTGCAAGATGGTGATTTTTTCCAACTTCCTCAGAATGGAACAACACAAAACAAGGATATGATTCTAGGTTTTATTTTACAGCATGGGGGGGCTCACAAGGCGGCTGAGTGCTTCAACTTTCTGCTTGCAAATCAAGTTGGAGCTTTCATTTCAGAAAAGAAATGGTCGAACACTAATAACATTAAGCTTAAATAATCCAAAATCTATGTAACTTCTCAAGTACTATATTGAAATATTTTGCATCAGTAACGAGTAAGTTATGCAAACTTCATGTGAATGAAATATGTACAGACTGATCTTACGCCCAAGGAGGGCCAAATAATTGCAAGTATAACATCCCAGCAATTTGTATCAGCTAACAATAGAAGTAGGAACTAATCCATGTACGCAGTAGGATTGACTTCAGTATTCTGAAATGTTATAAACATTCAGTGTTGCATTGATTAAATATGAATTGTATTGAGGAAATGTAATAAGTTGCAGGAGCAAAGCATTAGAGACTATTTCAAAGAATTAACCCAAACAAATTTTCTGTACAATCAGAAGATTCCGCAGATTTGAAAACTGGCCGAGGAACTGGTTATGAGGGCAGCATAAAGAAATACTAGTACAGACAATTCAAATATAAACCTAATACTGATATTTCTGCATAGAACACCAACAGAATACGGTTATTTTGATAATTGCTACACTCACAATTGAAAGAAGTCAGATGGATGTTACATGGAAGCGAATAAGGGCCACTCGCAGAAAGGTTTTTTCGACTTACTATCTCGCCGCGGCAACTTATTTTGCTGCGGATTGTAGGTCATCTCGCCCCCTTGCTGACTTGCCCCCCCCAAGTTTGTCAAGCACGTATGGTTGGCCCATTCACCATTTAATAGAAAAACATAACCAGTCAGAGATGGAATCAGTGATTGCTGCCCGTAAAAATAGGTTCTAGGGTTTGCAAGGGATTCTAGTTTTTCTAGGGATTCTCTCAAAGTTGAGAATTATGAAAGTTAAACTGTTTAAAGCTTGGTGGATGCTTACTTTCTGTGGAATTTGGAGTAAAAATATTTTTAAAATATTGGTAAAACTAATTCAGTATTATCGTGTGTATGGGCCATCTGCCCAGCTGCGTCCCTTCTGCGGACATCAGTCACATATCCAAGTATTAATGGGACGGAGGGGTCGAAGTTGTTGATACTTAAGGTATGTTTGATGTACAAATAACCTAATCTGTAATCAGACAGTGGACTTGGGAAGCGCCAAGACGTTTGAATAAAAGTGATTTGTGGTGATGTCCGAATATAGTCGTTCTTGTGGCTTCGCTGGTTAGACCCATTCGGTTTTGTTTTACACATTGGGCCGGCCATACTTGCTTGACGTTCCTAGGGAGCGAGTTGGTAAGGGGTGAGTCGGTCAGGGGGCGAGTTGACCTGACACCTCGCCGAGGCGACTTACTGGCGAGATACGAGGCGAGCTACTTATCTCGCCTCGGCGAGTTACTATCTCGCCGCGGTGAATTACCTAAAACTAGACTACACGTAGCTCCGACTCGTTGCATGTTAAGATTGTCTGGATACCAGACCCAATAATTCTGACTACTCTTCTAATCAAGGGTCCTGTATCACCCACTTGACCAGAACTCTTCCCCGGATCCGGAAATAGTCGAACTATTCCGAACTTATTCTGTCCATACTAAATTCAGTTTAACGGTAACACTTTTTCTCTTCAAAATTGTAAAAAGTGCTAGAAAGATTAAAATGAATAAAATTGGTATTCAAATGAGTAAAGGGAGAATACAAAAGACCATTCAGATGGTATCGGTAATTCGGCAATTTCCGGCCGCGTTTGTACAAAAAATTTCGTGAATTGTCCGGGTTATATCGGTCGAAGTACTCCCCATTTACGAAGCAGAACTAGGGAAAAGATTGGAACATGTTTTGGTAAATGGAAAGCATTTCTTTTTATTGAACGTGTTTTAAAGCAAAATGTCTTTTAAAATTCGTATCTTAGAAAATTTGGA